TTTTTAAATAAAAAGTTTATTCAGGTCCTACATAAATATTACTGTCTTTATATTAATGGTAGGTGTGTCACAGCTGACATACTGCTGTAATGCATGTATTTATTATGTTTACCATACCAGATTCACTGGCCACCTTTCTCTCTACACAAGAGACCAGAAAACTTTTCCTTCTCCAAGGCAGTACAAAATTAAAAGCACTGTGGTTTCCTTCTCTATAGGCCAGATACGCTGATGAGGGTGCTTCTTTGGAATCTCACTGGGACAGATGGGAATCTGGAACAGTGGTGGCTAGGTGGGGATGCTCTTCTCTCAGAGGCAAGGGGCATCCACAGTAACAGAGGACAGAATGCTCTTCAGTGGGTTTTGACTGATAGGGTTCCTTGGTGGTCATTAGTTGATCATAGATTTCTAGAAAAAAGGTAAATGGGCATCTTGTTAAAGTGTTGCTTGACATAAAAGGACAAAAGCATCTTAGGGTCATGGATCCCAACTCAAACCTCCATAGTGGTATTTGTGGTGTATTACCTGGCTCCTAGACCTAGATTCTGCTATGTGGCCACATGTATAAACCATGGCAGTATCCCTAAGTTTTCTCTAGAGGGACCTGAGGTAATTTAATAGATTGAGTAGGGTGGGGTGTGGAAAGGGAAATACCTAGACTTTCTAGGGGTTATTAGAATGTGGTCTTGACCTGAAAAGCCATCATAATTTACTGACTAAAGCTTATAGAAATCAGATGAGAGGTAGAATCTTGGTCCACATCCATCTAACAGTGGGTCCAATGGACTTAACATGTAGGTATTTCTCTAGTTCTAGAATGTATAATTGGGAATAGGTATATCTACTAACTGGAAGAATTCCGCAATGATTCCTATGCCATTAGAATAAAAACTATATTAGGAAGGGCCAAGTGCAAGCAAGCTCCTGGAATTGTGCTCTTTCTCATTCCCAACAGGACAGGAAGCCCTACGGGAAAATTACAGAGATTACTGTAATCATCAGACTTTAGAGATACAGGGACAGTGAACTACCACCTCCTCATTTAACTCACTTGTTTGGTGAAAAAGCTAGATTGTACACAGGGAATTATAGTGGATTATTGCAAACTCAATTAGGCAATGATGCCACTTGCAGATGTATTTTCAGATATGGCAACTTTATTGCAGCAAATCAGGATAGCCTATAGTACTTAATGTGTAACTATTGATCTAGAATATTCTTTCTATTTCAATCAGTAAGAAAACTCAAAATCAGTTTGCTTTTAAAAGATAGGGACATCTTGTCTCAACTGTTGAGTAAGTTTTTTAAAATATTATTTGTTGAACTCTGTACTTAGTATAGGGTTAATCTTATGTATATAAAGTCAATTAAAAATAGATCTTAACAGGTGCTGCGGCTCACTAGGCTAATCCTCTGCCTTGTTGTGCCGGCACACCGGGTTCTAGGCCTGGTTGGGGCGCCAGGTTCTGTCCCGGTTGCCCCTCTTCCAGGCCAGCTCTCTGCTGTGGCCCGGGAGTGCAGTGGAGGATGGCCCAAGTACTTGGGCCCTGCACCCCATGGGAGACCAGGATAAGTACCTGGCTCCTGCCATCAGATCAGCGCGGTGTGCCGGCCGCAGCGCGCCAGCCGCGGTGGCCACTGGAGGGTGAACCAACAGCAAAGGAAGACCTTTCTCTCTGTCTCTCTCTCACTGTCCACTCTGCCTGTCAAAAAAAAAAATAGATATTAACAAAAAATAGGAATGAAAATAAGAGAGAGAGGAAGAAGAAGGGTGGCAATGTGGGTGGGAAGAATCACTATGTTCCTAACTTTGCATTTATGAAATGTATACAGTTTTGGGACCTTAAATAAAAGGTTTCTGGGAAAAAAATAAGTAAAAATGATAGAGACAGTACCAACTTATAGTGTCTCCCCTTAGGACTATCTCTACCAGCTTGTAATTTGTCACAATATGGTCCTCAGTCCTTAATTATTTTTATATACCACACCCCTCTAATATATTAAAGGTACAATGCAACAGAATTTGATTTACATGAAGTAGCAAATCAGAGGGTGAAAAATAAATACTGTAGTGTGTCATGACATTTCTAGGGGTCCAGTAGCCTGAGACATGTTGGATAGCTAAAGTTGGGCAAGCTGTTGCTTCTTGAACCATACTACAAGAATAAAGAAATGCAGTGCCCATTGGACTTGTGTTTTGAAGGTAACACATGGCACCCATTGTGTAGCTTGAAAGGCTGGTGGTTTTGCATGGGAGTTACAGCATGAAAGGAGTGCATGCTGTGATGGAAGCTTCCATGTCACTTGGGCGTCATGATCTAGAAGGCAAGTGAATTGAAAGCATTAGCCTCCTGTACAGGACCTTTGTGGCCAGGCCTGGCAGGAGAATAGGAACATAGAACCTTAGAATCTTCTTTGTGAAAAGTAGTTCTTGCCTTGCTACTGGACCCCGATAAAGCAATGTATCCCACTATGGGATGCCAAGTGATCTTGCTATTTGAATAGTTCATAATGCACTAGGTAATACATGATTCACTGAACCATAAAATTGAACGTAAGTAGCAGGATTCCATGGTAAATGGAAATGATAAATGTGATACCAGGTTCTCCACTTATCAGGTGTAGAGGACATGAGTAAATTTCATAGCAAGTGGTTCAGACTTCCACATACTTCCTCTTTGCAATATTTATGCCTTTCCCTCAATCTGTAGATTTATCTTCATGGGGGGTTCCATATGAGTAGAATGACCAGGTGTCCAGATTTACCCTAGGTAGTATTAGTTTGTGCCTGTTGTCCAACACAATCATTAATAATGTCAGCCCTTTCATTGTCAAAAGTGCTCCAGCTTCAAGGATCAATTATATGATCACTTCGTCTCATATCAGTTACCAGAGAGGAAAGAGTAGGTGCTTGGCTCACGGGTTTCTGCATGCTGTTTTGGCATTAACTGGTATTAGGCAGTCAATGCACCACAACCCCTCTCAGAATACCTGGTTGTCTATGTTGTGTGGTAAGAGAGATAGCCTGATATACAGAACTACACTGACCCAGGAATGTATGAGAAAGTTACCTGGTCATGTGGAAAGGAAGGGAAAGGAAAAAATTGGAAGACTGATGCTACGGAGTGCCTGGAAGAAAGGTTACTGGGATAGACCTCTGAGAACGGGACATCGTATAAGAATTTTTTTTCTGTGTAAATGCCTGCTGGAGGAAATTCTCAATAATCAAGACGGCCCCTCTTGAGCACAACATTTAACTTCTTTCCCTGGCCTTGGTGTTTGCTCAGTGGGTCAGTATACAGAATGATTATGGTAACAGAGATAGGGGTTATTCAACCTCTCAACAATATGATATCTGTCTTCACTGAAATTGACCTTAGCTCTCACCACAATTAACTGCCCAGCCTGCTCGCAGCAGAGGTCCACTCTGTGGCTAGGATATGATAGTTTTCACCCTCATATGGAGCCTCATGAATGCACGCTCTGAATTATGGAGAAGCACCAAAAGGGTAATGCATTGTGTGTAAATGGAAAAGCACAAATCTGTCAGATAATGGGAACAATTCTACCCTGCCATTGTTACTACTGCTGTTTTGCTGAGTTCACTTGATGAAATGGATCAGTTGGAAAGGAAGGAAACTTCTATGATTCAGCAGTTTCATCTGTGTACTTTTTCTTTTAGTTCTGACAACAAGTCTGTGAGCTAGGTTTTGCCCATATGGCAGTGAGAACACAAGCACAGAAATTCAGTTTCATACCTAAAGTCTCAGAAATGATAAGATGTGATGTCAAAGTTTTAACTCATATCTGCCTATGTGTATGCCTTTTACCCTACTGTTTTTTAGGAGACTATCTGGAATGCTAAGATGGGTTTTAGTAGGTACCTGTTGGCTACTGTGAAAGTCATTCTTCTATCTTTGCACCTTTGCCAGAGCTTATAGGGAGGAAAGTTGACTTTATCTTCTGTGTGTCTACTGCAGCTCCAGTCCATGGAGTGGAGCTGAACAGAGCTTTGCCAAAAAGAGGGAGGCTACATTCTCCTGCTGAGGCTTCTGAAGTTTCCCAGGCTGGGAGGCATCCCAGGGCTCTCTCTTCTGGCTGTTTCCCCAGATTCATCATTAAAGGTTGGAGAGAAAAAAAAAAAAGTTGGAGAGGAGTCTGAATCCCAAGGAGCTAAGACCTGGCTGGGAAACTTAGGAGAGAGTGGAGACAGTGGGAATAGGAGATTACTTTTCAGGGGTGACTATTTCTGGTCTGGGAACCTCATAAGTTATGCATATAGCCCTAACTGACTCACTCCTAGCCTTGGTGACAAACAAGGATCACTTGCGGCTTCCCCCTTTCCCATGTCATAGTCCATAGGAATGAGCTATTTCTCACATGGCACCAAGTTTTGCTTGTGTTTCTTCCTCCTGGAGGCCTCATTCTGTAGCTGTCTTTGAAACTTTTCCGAGAAAACTCGTCTAATGTCTCCCAGCCCCTCCAGTGACCTGCAAGTGTGTAACGTGCCTCTACCTTGTGGTTCTAGGAGCACCTATATTTGGCTTCTTCATAGTACTTTTCACATGTGTTATGGGATTGAGTACACTACCAGGGTACTTTGAAAAATTTGTGGAAAGTAGAATTAAAAGGTGAGTTTATTTAAGTGCAAAAATTTTGAAATTATGCAGTTTTCCACAACACATATTTTCATGAGCTTTTTGAAGACTGCTCATGTTTTCCAGTGTTATGAGATACTAGATGTGAATAACTAAGCTGGACCTAGAATGGTGGTTTCTGTTATTGAAATTCTCTATCTACTTCTCAGTCATGTCCATTACAAACTTTGTTGCCTAAGATGAAGGTGGATATTCAACAAACTTTCAGGTGAAAGAATGAATGAATTGAATAAAATGAGTTAAGAGTAGCAAAGGTAAGGGATGAGTATTTTTTTAGCCACTTAAATCTTTATAAATAATAAGCATATAATTCCTGATTATTTTCAGTGAAAACAATCCTTTATTTAAAATAGTCTAGAATTGCTTTTCCCTAAATTAAATAAAATACTCTACAAATGAGAATTTTAAGTCCAATATACCAAACCCAGTCATACCAGTCAGGGATTCTCCACCAATCCTCATTTAATAAAGTTTAAATGAAATAGCTTAGAATTCTGAGAACATGTGCCTTTGCTTAGAGAAGAAAGCAGGGCAATGCTTCTTAGATATAAGAGTGTGAGGCTAGTGAGAAAATTCTATAATGACGAGACAGCTAAGAAACAAAGATTATCAAATGCTGAGGCTCTCAGATTTCTCTGATGTTATCAATCATATTTTTAAATCACAGAGACAGTCGACTCATTTTATTTCAATAAGAGAATGGAAGCAAGAAGGGGACCTACACTATTTCTAGCCACGTGTGTTTATTAAGACATGCTTTGCACTTTTAATGCCTTTGCTGCAGAAGGGTGATAAGTGCTTTAGCAAAGAGGTACACTACGGGGACTAAGCTGGGCAGCTTATGCATACAGAAAGCAGCGGAGATCTCAAGGCCTTCAGGGCTCTTGGAAACGCCACGCATTGTGCATCATCTGGGAGTGCTGATCTTTGTTTCCCGGTATGGATGTTTCCTGAGTGTCTGGGGTCATGGTGGTATCCGTGGTTGTTTCTTCCTGGGTACCCAGGGGTGTGGTCACATCTGGACCATAGATATCATAAACCTCAGCTAATTCAGGGGTTGCCAGTGGGTCAGCATCTGAAGGGGTGACTCTGGGGACTCCCATTTTCTTCCCTGCTGGGCCCCTTGCCATGCCGGGAGTGTTGTCCTTAGGGAAAGCAAGGAGCCCTGCGTGGGCGCCATGTGCTACCTCTTGAAGGAGAGCTGGGTTTTCTGGATTGGATGGGTTGGCTTCCGGCATGGGGGCGTCCTCTGCAGCTCCTTCTCCTTTCTCGGGGCCTTTAGTTGCGGCCACTGGGGAGTCAAACTCCAGAGTAAAGTCCCCACCCATGGCCGGGTTGTGAGGCATTCCGCCAAGGCTGTGCCTGATGCCTCCAAATCTTGGGAACATGGCTCCGTAGGCCATGGGTCCTCCTCTTTCTCCCTGGAAAAAAGGATCAAAGACATTATTATCATATGCTAGTAACTCTTCCCTGCAATTATGTCTGGTCATATTCAGCAAGAATCTACAAAGAACTAACAGAGAGCATGGAGTGAATTGGCTGACAGCTTGATGTCAGTACATTTCTTACAAAACTGGCTTTGAAATATAATGGAGAGGATTCTGCACATATCTGGGTGGGGAAAGGCCGGTTCTCTGAAAGGGAGCTTGAGACCTTTCCCCACACCTAGCTAGAAGGGCAGCAGTGGGGAAGTAGGGCAGAAGCAAGACTTCAGCAAAGTTAGTTTGAATTGAATTTTAAGACAATAACATGCGTTTGGAACGGGAACCACCATCACAAACAAACAAAGGCTAAACTTTGTAACTGCATTTGTTGGGGGGTGGTTTGGAAGATCTTGTCATTGGCATTTCTCAGTATCTTCCCAATGGATAAAGTCTATACAAGATTTTTTAAAAAACAAAGTCAAGAAAAGGCTTGATTTCTCCGGAGGAACTGTAATGTTTTCTTCTTGTGGACAGACAGGACACCAGAACTGATCATGTTTCTTTTTCTGCCATATGCAGACCAAAATCTTGGGCAATTTGCAGCAAACATTTATGGCTATGTGGCTTGCACATCTATATTCTGATTTCTTTGCAATTTGTACTCATTTTTAATCCTACCTTCAATTATTTGTTATACTTATTGTGTGATTTTTTAGAAGCAGACTATCATTTGGGAATGAGGCATAATATAGATAATTAATACTATAAATATGTCAATCAACACTTATTCTGAATTTTCAGCCAGTGTGTATGTGTGTATGTGTGTGTGTTGTATAGAAACAATACTCTTTCCTTCTGCCTTTGCCTGCCTCTTTACTGAGTCTCAGCTTTCACACTGTCTCCTCCAGGGATGGCACTGTGAGCTCCTTGGTGAAGCTACCTTCCTATCCTTTCTTTCTCTTTCCCTATAATAAAAATATTGATACCATTATTACATTAATTTGACATTGTCTGCCTTCGTAACTATATTTTTCATCATGAGACTGTAATCTCCTTGAGAACAGTAATATTATTCTATCTATCTTGCCTACAATATTTCCCTATGTGTTAAGCAAGAAAAAGTTCTAAAAAATGTTGTGTCTGGGGGCTGGCATTATGGCACGATGTGTTAAACTACCTCCTGTGATGCTGCCATCCCATATTGGAGTGTCAGTTTGAGTCCCAACTGATCCTCCTTGCTAATCTACCTGGGAAAGCAGTGGATGGTGGTCTAAATCCTTTGATTCCTGCCACCATGTGGGGGACCAGGAGGGAGTTCAGCCTGGCCCAGTGCCAGCTGGTGATACCACTTGGGGAGTGAACTAACAGATGGAGAAACTCTTTTTCTCTCTGTCTCTGTCCTTCTGTCACTTTGCCTTTCAAACAAACAAAATAAATCTTTAAAATGTTATGTGAATTTTGTTTTAGTGATGGCATATGTATGCATATTTATTCCACTGGATCTGTAGTTGCTAATGATTTGTTAAGGCAGTGTGGCTTTTGTGCTGTGTGTGTGTGTGTGTGTGTGTGTACTGCAACAGATGTAACACATAGATATTTCTGAGGGAAAAGGTTGATGAGTGTGAGTCTACTGATCTCAAATCTTAAACTTGTGATATGTATGGATAATAATAGAATAATAGAATAAGAACATACTCTCCTGGATGTAATGAACATTGAAGTTTACAATAATCAAAATTTAAACTTGTTTCCTTTCCTTTTCCTTTTTGATATTTCAGTCTTTGAAGCTGAAATATTTCGTGCTGTTGTTGAATTTGGTGTTGGGGAGTAGGACTTTAAGGTCTTGCAAAGAATGGGAGATTTGTATGAACCACACATGTTGTTTTTTGGTTTGAAGTGTTTGCAGCTCAATGAAGATGGCCTTTCAGGAGAGGTTTCTTCACAAATATACAATGAATGGGGAAAAAATCCTACACTCTTTAATGGTCATCACTCATTTATGAGTGTCAATCTAGGAAACACGATATAATCCTTGGATACTGCTTTGGAATCAAGCTCTTGGCTTTGGAGTGGAAAAATCTGAAACCTATGCCCAATGACTGCGTTTGTAACCAATCATCCTGTCCTCCGGGACTGTCCTTCCCTGACTACTATTTTAAGCAGAGCTAGAAGACATTACTCACGGGCATTTCTTCTGAACTCAGGATGCCAAGTCTGGCAGGGGCATTCTGTTCAAAAAGAAACATTACATCGTATTATGAACCAGCTGCCTTCTATTTACCTTCTTATCTGCACAAGACAAAGTTAATAAAGTCATTTGTTTCTCCATCAAACCTTAATATTAATGCTGTACCCAGAGGCAGAATAAAGCAGAGAGATGAATCATTATTGAATCAATGTATCCAACTTGGGTAATTCATATTTAAAATTTACTTTTTCCTTAATGCAATTGTATTATTGTGTGTATGTGTGTGTGTGCATATGGCCAGAATTGTCCAAATATGTAGGGAATTGTGCCTCTTTACTATTTCAGTTGCTAATGTAAGCATTCAGTGAATATTTATTTGAAATATCTTTTGTGAGGTCTGATTTTATAATTTTAGTTCTTAAGATAACATTTATTAAGAATGATACCTTTTATGGAATATAGACTTACCAGTTGATTTCCTCCATAGGACATGTAAAACATACCTGGATAAAGCTAAATAAAATACAATAATTGTCACAGAATGCATTTTATAAAGGGAAAGCTTTTTATTAAATTGCAAGCAGAGAAGTGGTATTAAAAAAGGAAAAAACTTACTGCAGCATGTCTATTTTGAGGCAGGGGTCCCCGAGGGATCAAACGGGCTATTTGGAACACCTGTAAGTAGCAGAAAACAAAATAATTGACACAGGCAAGTCCCTGTTACAGTAATTTCTGAGTTACTGAAACACATTTTCAGATGGATCAGTATGAAAAATCAGTTTTTAATATTAACACAAATGTACCCATTATATTTCATACCCATGGATAAATGAGACAATTTAAACATTTCATTCAATTTTTTTGAATATAGAGAAATTATCCCCAAGAAAGTCTCATTGAGAGCTGTACTTACGGTTGGAACTTGTGGGCCAGCAAAATCCATTGCTGGGAGCTATGATACAGATAAATATTAAAATTACCAGTCAAAATAGACAAAATGAGCAGAACACACACTTGTATACAATTACATCAAAACATTCTAAAACAAGTCTCTTTGTTTTTGTTCTTTTAGTCTCTTGGGAGATATGACCCAAGAGTTTTCAATGGTCTTCTACTGATACAAGTCAAGTGTACCTGCAGGGAACTGAGGCCTGCCATCATGGATTTGCTATCCCTTATAGGGTCAAAAGTCATGGGTTTCGGAACTGAACCATATATACTTGATTGGCTTGAATCTTAGCTCTGTCACTTAGATTCTGTGTCTTAGTTTTTGTGTGATCCTAGGCAGATCCAAGTCTGTCTTCTCTTTAAAATAATGATACTGTCGATCTTTGTAGGACTATTGTTAGCATGATATGGGGGAGGGATGTTAAGTGTTCGCAACATTTCAGTTGCACAGCATCTTGTTCTCGGCCTATTGTTCTTTTGTCTACATTATCATAATGTGGTTTTGCATGGTTGTCACCCCTCAGTCAGAGAAATAACAGCGTGGAATCCTACTTGTGATGTTGAGGGATCAATTTCTCTTTTCAGCATTTCCAACACAGTAAAGACACAACTATAGGAAGCCTGGATCTCTCTGGGCTGTCCCGAATCTTCTGGAAGCTTTCGTGTTTTACAACTAAGATAGCAAGTTCTGTGGCCACAGGATCTGTTAGAATCTGTGCCTGGTCTCTGATGGCAAACGATAGAAATGGCTGTATTCTACTCCAAAATTAAATCCCTGATGGGAAAGACTGATTAAGAACATCTTTGTATTCTATGAGTACATTTTCAGGCCATGATTCTTTACATGTGTCCTACCAATTGGGGTCCTTCAGTTAGGTTAGCAGGTGATCCTGACCTGACTTCCAAGAAGGGAATTACCTCAGGCTTTGGGGGCTTCTCTGTCGGCGCCACCTGCTCTTGAATCTCTGGCATTTCTCCATCCTTCAAGGGCAGCTGTGCGGGGTGAATCCGAAGCTGAGGCCCTCCCTTCTGGGCTGTGCCCTGGATGGCAGGTGCAGCAGTTGGCTGGAGGAAGGGTTTCAGTCCTGGCTGTTGAGGCTGCAGGGATGGCTGTGATGGGAGAGGTGGGGGATGCACAGGCAAAGAATATTCATACTGCAGAGAAATTTGAAAAGAGTGTCAGGAAGGGATGGTTCATGGAGCTGTAGTGCCTAGAATTTCTAAAGCAAAGGGGCTTAGGTGCTTTCTCTCTGGAAGGGAGGCTTAAGGGACTTGTCTTGAAGAAGTGTTTTCATCAGAAGCACCAATTTTCTTTAAAAATATTTATTTTCATTTATTTGAAAGGCAAGGTGAGAGAGCGAGAGAGAGAGCAAGAGAGCGAGAGAAAGAGAGAGCAAGAGAGGGAGGAAGAACGAGAGAGTGAAAGAAGGAATTCCTTCATCTGCTGGTTCACTCCCCAAATGCTTGTTAACAGCTAGAGCTGAGCCAGCCTGAAACCAGGAGCCAGAGACTTCATCCAGATTTCCTACATGGGTGGCAGAGACCCAAATACCTGAGCCACAGTGTGCTTTCTCCCAGGGTGCACATTAGCAGGAACGCGAGATTGGAAGCTGAGGTGGGACTCAAACCCAGCACTCAGTTGTGGCATCCCAAGTGGCAGCAAAGCCTGTCCCAGGCAGCACCAATTTTCTTAAGGTGAGTGTTGGGGGAGGTTTTGTATGTGCTCGCCTCATTTACATCCTTTGGGACCACCATTGTTCAAGAAGAAGGGAAACTGCCTGTTTCTGGTGGAATGAGTCATTTCTTCCTCTGTGTTCAAGTAGCTGCCCGCTTGCATCTTTATTTTACTGTGCTGTCACCAGTTTATAGTAATTTTTTAATAAATCCTTGCTCCCTCCTCAAGTTGACTGAGAATAATGTGTCTTATTCATCTTTGTAGTCCATATAATTAACTTCCTTACAAGCACGCTGGCACATGGTGGGTACTTATTTTTTGAGTTAGCAAAAGGATTAAGTAATTAATTAAGTAATTAAGTAAAATATCCATCCAATTCCTACATGAGAATCCATTTTGGTAATAATTCTTTAGGTGGATAAATAGTCACCATGAATATAATTTATTGTCCTACTAAATGTGGCTTTGTGGGTAATTCTCCTGTTGTGGAAGGCTGTCTGGAATTAGAAGTTCCTATGAAAACCCATATGTTTTATTGCCTCTTGTAGAAGTTACTTGTGGTGAATGGCAGATGGCCTGTGGATTGGTTACAAATTCCTCAAACCTGCAGTGAAGTCTCACAATAGTTTTGTTTTGTTTTGACTCTTCACCTCCAGCCCATCGCTAAACTCCTATGGCATTCATTATAATTTATCACTTTGAAATATGTTGTTTTATGTTATCTACCAAGCAAATATGAAATTTCATGAGCCTTTGAGCCATTCTTCTTTACTTTCACTCCCAAACCACAATTTGGCTTATGTACTTACTAAGGACCTAATAAATAATGGTTAATGGATTGCTGTATTTATTGACTTCTGTAGAATTCATTGTGCTTCAGGAGGATGTATATTATCATCTGAAATTAGCCTTTAAGTACTTAATTAGAGAATTTTGTTGATTAAGGTGAAATTTACCAGTATATCACTTGCTTCCATTTTTTAAGGATTGTTTATCTGTTGCTATTGATGATATCTTAACATACTTTTTCTACTTGAGATAAATATGTAGATAGTAATAGGCTCTATTTCCTATTAAGATAACTTTTTATTAGCTACTGGTTCTTGTGTATTGCTAGTATATTGTAGCTCAAGAGAAGGCAAGCGTGGAAAGATTTTGAAGGTTGAAATTCAAACAAACTGATGCAATTAACTTACCTGTTGAGTTTCATGTTCCCTTGGCCTCATCCATGGGAAAGAGGAAGGTGGTGGTAGGAGACCTTGCAGCCACAAGGAATTAAGTGATTTTCCAAAGCCATATTTAGAATACTAAAGACACGGGGAAAAAGACATGCTTATATTTCAATATTAAGAAATAAAAACACAAATAAGAATGATTTTGGTTAATTGAAAATGGATAGATAGATTCTCCCAACAGAATCAAATTTCATTCTGAGCCCCACTACAATAGTTCTATTTTTTTTTTTTTGAGATTTGGCTTTCTAAGAACTTGTATTTGGGATATATAACAAAGTTGATAAGTAAGGAAGATTTTTTATTAAAGAAAGTTCAATATTTTATTTTTCCTTGGTACCCTACCTTATTTTATTCTAGCCTGTTTCAGTTACTTATTTGTTTTTTCAGTGTTGAGGTTATTTTCTGTTCACAAACACATTTTATGAACTACAACTCTGCTGCTAATTTCACCACCATTGGCACCATTACTACTTGAAAGAAATCTCTGGATATATGATTACCTGAGAAAGTGCATTTAATCCCTGCAAACTTCCCAACTGTCTCATTGTCTGTAAAGAAAAAAAATAGGTTAGTGTTTGTCATGTGTGTCACTTTTGACATGACTGATATCTTATAGCGACATTATCAGCACAAAGTTTGGGGTGGGAAAATTTGAATAAATAAAAAGTAGTTATCAATAATCATTAAAAATAAACATTCAGTATGATTCTGCCATTGTTGTTACTGATTTTAAAATACAGAGCTTGCTTTTGTCATTAATTAAAGGAGAAAAATGTCATTTAAGTGGGTGTTACACTGAAACAAAGGGAATAACAATCAACTGAAATAAAAATGCAATTAAGATGTCATTGCTTCATTAACTCTTTTCTCCCGTTTAGTTTACCTTGTCTTTGATTAATTCAGCTCAGAAAAGAAATTAGAAAAAATAAACAAACACCCAAATCAATTTTACCTCCTTCACAAACAAAACTCTAAAAATAATAAATATAAAATACACTGGAAGAAGTGGTAAGCATGTGGACAGCTTGTCAAGAATTTCAGTAGTCAACTTGCTTTTTTAATTGGAAGAGCTTTAGAGTGCTTCAGATTTTGTTAAAGCTAGAAAGAATAAAAAAAGCATCAATGAAATTAATTTCATGTGGGATAAATACCAAACCCATGATTATATTGACTGATATTAAATGGTCGTGATACAAGGGAATTTTGCCAGGTGTTGTTAACAAATTTGTAATCTCATAAATTTTTTTATGTTTAACTGTTGATTTTGTTTATTGGTATAGTCAAAATTGCTAATTTGCTGAGGTTTCTAAGCAGAATATGTTTTTTATAAGAATTTCCATCAAATAAATACAGCAATAATGCTATGCAAGGAGGTATCATGGTACAACGTTAATGCTATTCACAGTACTGCTTGTAAGTCATTATATTTTGTACAGGTACATATTCTTCATGAGAACTTTATCATTTAAGATACTGTAAGAAGCAGGAGTGTAAACTGTGTCTACAGAGTAATGTGTTTTAATTAATGTAGCCATTATATCAAAGTGTATATAGTATATATTAGGTATTATTAGGGTTGCATTGATTCATATAAAGATAATAGTATAAAGCTTAATAAACAAACCAAGAGTTTAAAATTGTGGTAGAAGGAGGCAGGAGTTTGGTGCAGTGGTTAAGGTGCTGCTTAGGATGCTAGCATTCTACATCAGGGTGCTGGGTTTGAGTCTCAGCTTGGCTTCTGATTCCAGCTTCCTGCTAATATGCCCCCTGGGAGGCAGCAGGTAATAGCTTAATGTAGTTCTGTCCCTGCCACCAACTTTGGAGACGTGGATTGAGTTCCCAGCTCTTGGCTTCAGCCTAGCCAAGCCCTGGAAGTCATGGTTATTTGTGGAATGAACCAGTGGGTGGGAGATCTCTGTCTTTCAATTCAATTAAATCAAATTAACTTTTAAAAATTATATAAGTATTGTAAGACAAAGCTCTGTAAATGCTATTGATTTCTCTAGAACTACTCAGGATGACAGTCAGATTTCTGTTTAGGAAAAGTGAGAAGCAATTCATTAAGGTTCTCTCTTACGAGAAACGTGCCAATGTAAAGATTATATGTAAAGATTCTGGCAATACATACCTCAAGGCTCAGACTAGCCATGCCCGGTGTCCCAGGTTGTTGAGGAAATGCCTAAATGGAAACAAGAATAATTTCGAGTTGCCTTTGGTGAGGAACTTCCCTAACTGCATAGTTTCAAGTTGTTTTGGTGAAAATACAAAGCTGTTCTAGTGCAGAAAGGTCAGCCGTGAGACCACCATATTGGTTTGTTGCCCAAATGACTCTAGCTTTTGGACTGAATGAAGAAGAATATAGGTTATTTGGGAGAATTAAAATAATATTTAGTAATTTTGCTCCTATGTGAATATCTATCATTTGCATCTTAATGCTATGTTGCTTTAAAACCAAAATTTGACTTAGTTTAAAGTTATACAAATGAAAAGTTGACTAATACAGTAGAATAGGAAACCACATGCTTCAGGTTTATGGATTGTGGTGTGGGGTCATGGCACTCAAGAAATCATATGCAAAACCTGACTTGCCTGCTCCTCAGCAGGCTTCAAAAATCCTTCATCATCTTTAGGGACAGTTTATCTTATGTATAAACCTGTTCATCTGTATTTATATTTTATATAATGTCAAAGCTATATTTTCCCTAAAAGAGCATTCTAGCACTAACTAATGCATTTTAACACTTATTGTGTTTATTTAAATTGTTCAAAAATATAGATATACTTACAACTAGATTTAAAAACTTTAAGATATTTCCCTTTCTAAAAAATCCTTATTAATACAGAACACAAATATATAAAAAAAGGAAAATGGAAGAGCAGAAATGAGAGTAAATTGGATTCTGAGTCTCCCATTCTTTGAATATTCTCACTATCTAAATGCAAAGGGTTGAATGCTTTCCTTCATTTATACCACAAATATTTATAGAATGTCTGCTAATGTATTGAGATTATTTTCCTTTGTGTAAGTAGTTCAGGAATTCCACCTCCTACAATTTTTGACATGAAAAGAGGGACAGGCAATAAAAATGTATTGTAAACCCTCTGGATGAAGAAAGAAGTTAGTTGTATGTGTGTGTGGCTTGTGAATGTTTTCTGTAGACTCTTCAGAATCTGAGGGAATTGCAAGAACAGAGCCTTCTTTTCCACCATTGGTCAGTATACAAGCACCAAAACTTGGGCAGATTCAATTACAGGACAAAATATACTTCACTTTCCATCTATCCCTAGTCATGAATTAAGGAACAATATTCACATGAATAGAAATTGCAAATGGATACATATGCCAGGCTAAATTAAAAGAGGAGCATTGGATTTGATGGGCAGTCAGTTAGCAATCATAAGCAATTGTCTTGTTCCTCACAGTGACCCTGATTGATTCAGACATAGACCTTTATAGATTCAAAGACTGTTGTTGTAATACATGGATGGTGGATGATCAAAGCTAACCCCAGTACCATGTAGAAGTGAGCTAGGGTGGCAGCTTAAGTATTTTTCTCATTTTCTTTCATCTTGCATGATGGAAAGGAAATTGTTTTTAATTGTGGAATTAAAGTTTTCATCCTCTTTCTCAAAAAATATTTAGAGAACTCAGACTTTCCCCTTGAGGAATTAAAGTATTTGAAAGTTCATTTGAGATCAGCTGTGAACTTCTGAAGACAACAGATGATGTCTTATGGACCTCTATGTCTCCCGTGCCCAATATGTTGGTGGATAGATTCATATTGCTGTTCAGTATATATGAGGGCACTTTAAACATTTAGTGGAAAATTAGAATTAAAAGGTTAAGTTTAGGGCCGGTGCCGTGGCTCACTAGGCTAATCCTCTGCCTGCGGCGCTGGCACCCTGGGTTCTAGTCCCGATAGGGGCACCAGTTCTGTCCTGGTTGCTCCTCTTCCACAGCTCTCTGCTGTGGCCCGGGAGTGCAGTGGAGGATGGCCCAGGTCCTTGAGCCCTGCACCTGCCTGGGAGACTAGGAGGAAGCACCTGCCTTCTGGCTTCGGATTGGCGCAGCGCGCCAGCCGCAATGCACCAGCCATAGTGGCCACTTGGGGGATGAACCAACGGAAAAAGGAACCTTTCTCTCTCTCTCTCTCTCACTGACTCTGCCTGTTTAAAAAAAAAAAAAAGGTAAGTTTATTTTGGTGCAAAAAATTGAAATCCATGTATAGTTTTTTTCATAATACAAATTTCTATGAACTTTTTGGTGATTCCTCATATTTGTTGAATACATTTAGTAGCTGAAAAAAGTCTTTGAAATGACATAATCACATGGATTACATTTGTATGACATCATTTCAATATACAATAGAGTAGATCAGATGTGGGCCTGCAACACACAAGTAGCCTTGGTCCCATGACATGTTTTAAGAAACTTCAGCTGGCAGTGATACAGTATCACCCCCAAGAGGTAAATTTAATTGCTAGCTTCAAGTTACCTGTCACAATTTTGTAACTCTAGTCACTTAGCTAATATTGTCCTTCTTAAAATGAAGAAAATATGCTTTTTTCAGAAAAGAATTTCTCTTTCCATTCCAATTTCATAATAATAGCAAGAAGTTGATGTTACAATTGTTCGATGGCATTGTGGAGACCTCCCAGGTCTTTTATCTTTAAGTGAGTGGAATGGGATTTAGAAATTGTCTTTGTAATATTTTAAATATTGTTTGCAATAGAAAAAGTATATGATATTACTTTTAGACTAGAAGGCAGAGATGCGGGCCACTATGACTTTTGACTTATTAGGAGCTAAACTCCGGGACTAAATCAAGTAAGTCTATGTATGGACTCCCAGCCAACATCCCTTCATTGCTGTTTGGTGTCCAACAGTGAGGAGCTCCCTGACCAGCAGACTGACTTACCGGCACTGCAAAACTCGTCTCCAGGAGGCACAGGAGCAAGATCAGGTCCTTCATTTTGAAAAGCGGAATCTAAAACATAATTGGGTTGAAGAATTAAATCCGATTAATTTTGAATTTAGAATGCTTAAGAGACAGCTTTAGAAATAAGCCAGAGTGTCTGCTCTTCTAACATGACTGAGTTAAAAAGAGATTATAAAAAAACTAACTGTTGTTAAGGCATTTAATTTGTATTTAGTATTTCTGGGATGAATTGACACTTGCAACCTAAATGAACATGCACTAACAGCCTCCACAGATTCTTTAAATATTATGTTTCATTTCATGCAGTGAACTTTGAACTAAAAAATACCTTTCATTAAGTGAAATACTGATCTATAAAGTGTTCACAGTAGTTATACTTCACTTAATATCTGGGACAAAATTTGAAATCCATTTAAAATATAATTTATTCAATAATCACTTTATAACATCTTTTTTGTTTTGCACATATGTAGGGTATATCACTTGGTAAGTTTTGGTTGTCAACATAACCATGCCAAAACTTACCTTTTTCAAGTATGAATACATTGAATACTTTTCCTTTGATATCACTAGAAAATATGTCTCCAAATTTAGTTTTCCTCTTTAAAAGATGAATGATCTCTTAAAAAGTAGTCTATACTTTCAAAAGTATCTTCATTCTTCTATGAATAGAAATCTAAGTAGTCAAGAAATTTGCTTGCCCTCTAATAATTTTCTAATTTAAGCATGAACAAAAATAATCACAAATAGCAAAAAAAAAAAAAAAAGTCTACAGATAAGTCTTTCTTTGCTTAGCAGCATCGATATTAGGCAATAGCTATGCCACCTCTGGAACTCGCTAATGAGTTATGATAAGCAATTATTCAGCTTCTGGTGACCAGTGAAGATAAATCCTCTTTGTAAAAGCTGTCTGGAGATAGAAAAAAAGAACTTACAGGAAACATACGGAAATCATAAAATCACATTTTACCTTCGATGCTGACATTTACTGTGCTCTCAGGACCTCGTGATGCCAACCAAGATAGTTCTAAGAAAAGATAAAATTTTTTCTGCACTGTGCCTGGGACTTGCTCTGTACCTCTCATTTCAAGGAAGAGCAGAAACCTTTATTTAAAGTGCCAATCCACCAATCAAAGTGAGGCAAAATGGGGGAGGGGGGAGGCAGAATCTCTGATCCTGCAATTAGTCCACACCCTTTTATTGCATGCAAGGACATCGGCCCAGGAGGGTCTCATTATATTAAATTGTAACTCAGCCCCTGTATTTATTCAGAGAACTTGATTGCAGGGAAAACAGCAAAGAAATAATGGACTTAGGCTCTGAAGACAATCATTTTGGTGATCTGGGGGAAATATATGTAAAATCAGTGCAAAGCAAGCAATTATCTGTTTTGTGCAGATGCTTATGTACAGATAAAGCTAGTGACCCAATGCCAGCATTCTCAATATTTTCACACCTATGTTGTGGTATAACAACTCCACCTTCCCCCAACATACACATACAGTCTAGAGGTAAACACCAAATATTTCCTGGGCCTAGAAGAAAGGATGAAAATGTTACCTGGAAAATGACTGTGCTATTTTTTCCTTCAGAATGTCGTAGATATTTTCATTTCTGGAGAAAATTGATTGGAAATAACCCTGCTTTTGTAAGACATTTCAACTGGACTCTCTGCAAGAATCACTTGGAGATAAACCTTTGATGCATGTTCTTTGTAGGCACAGGGAAGAAGAATCAGAACATTGTCCATGAACCCATCCAATCAAGGGGAACAACTCTCACTTCAGTCTTTACACAGCCCTGTTTCCAGGCATTCGTATCAAGCCCGGTTAGCGAGATTTATCTGGGCCACTGACGAGGTTAACATCAACTTGGATTGATTTTTCTTCATGAACAGATGAGAATGTCTTGGATATAGATTGAATGCTGGTTGCTTTTGTTATTTCTCTGCTCCTCTTAGTCTTTCCAAAGGTGTGATTTCATACACTCTAGGGTTAGGCATTTAAGATTAGTTGCTGGAGAAGGGATGAGTCAGTATGCTCTTTAGGGAAGTAGAGATTTTGCCAATTACAGGGAACATTGAGGAAGCTGGTATTTTGGGAGAAAGACATCTCCCTACCCAAGTGTGGGAGTAACAGCTTCAAATAATGTTATCTAAGATGCTGTCCCTGAAGGACCCCATTTCCACTGATGACAGAATTATCTTTAGGATGCAATGAAATGAATAATGTGAATGCATTTTGTAAACAGCAAAATGTTACTGAAGTAAAAGTATTTTTCCTCTCTCTATTGCCCAGCTCTAGTGCTTGATCAAGTCCCTTGATCTCTCTGAGCCCATTTCTTCCCTCAGTAATACAAGGATAATCATTTACTACCATAGGCTTGCCTTGAAAATTTGGTCAGACAATGGATATGTGGTAACTGTCCAGCAGTCTGTACTCAATAAATGGGTTACTTGTCTTTTTTTTTTTTTTTGTGGGAGAAAATATATGAAACATGGGACTGCAAGGACAGTGTGTGTGTGTGTGTGTGTGTATGTGTGTGTGTTGGAGGAGGAGATGTGCAGGAAGCCAGGTCAAGAGCTCCAAGGAAGGAAGAGGAAGGACAAAACACAAGACATTGGTTCTCTGGAAGTTGAGGCAGAACAAATAGCACTGAGCCTCCCAGTTGAGTCCTTAACTGGAAATGCATGTGTGTCTTTCATGGTTTATGAGCATGATCATGACAGGCTAATAAAGTTTTGGTAAGATTCATATGTCCTGCTTTGTTCTTAAGACAAATGGCCAATATGTCATGGATACTTTTGCTTCTTTCTTTCAAAAATGTCCTTCACACTCAATCCAGGATTACCATTTTCCGGATATACCTGATAATTTCTTTCTCTTCCAATATCCTGCATGCCAACATCAAATTTCTTCCTAAAATACTCATTTCAGATTTTCACTGACACAGCAATAGACTTTTCAAGCATCTTTACAGCTATGAAATCATTTTACCCTCTGTAACTAGACACTTCAAATCACATTTCAATTCACCTTTACAAACTTCTTTCCCTCTCTGGGTGAGACACTGTGTTGATCAGTATAGTAATAATTGTAGTGAGTTGGATTTTGTTTTGTTTTTCCATCTAGTGAACAGTTTTTTAAAAAATATTCACTGTCATCCAGAAATATTAAGGTACAACCATTTCTTAAAAAATATTTATTTGAGAGGCAGAGTTACAAATACAGGGAGAGACAGAGAGAAAGGTCTTCCAAATGTTGGTTCGTTCGCCTGAGCTGAGCGGAACTGAAGCCAGGAGCCAGGAGCTTCTTCTGAATCTCCCCCATGAGTGCAGGGGCCCAAGCACTTGGGCCACCTTCCTCTACTTTCTCAGGCCACAAGGAGAGAGCTGGATTGGAAGAGGAGCAGCTGGGACAGGAACTACCTCTATGGGATGCTAGGGCTGCAGGTGGAGGCTTAGCCTGCTATGCCAAAGTGCCTGCCTCAAGTGAACCGTTTTTTAATCTTGGTTCATGTAATGCATATGTTTGGGGAAGTCAGTAAATATGATCCTAATAAATTCTGTGGGAAACTTTTAATCACAAAGAAATTGCAAATTAGCCTAAGTTTGTGAATGAGTTTCTGCCCCATTCATTATACATGTTAAGGCAGTAACTGAAGCTGATTCAGCCTGTACCTGTCTGAAGACCTTCCAGAGTGCCGATAAATGAAAGCCCATGTCCAGAGACCAGCAAAAATAATAAAACCCTTGCCACATGCCACGGGAGAAGTTGTAAGGAAAATCTAGAGAAAGAATTCCTGAGGAAGACATTAGCATAGTAGCTGAGAGCACAAATATTTAAATCCCCTCTATGACTAATCATATATGCATATTTTCATCTGTGAAATACTGTCTACCATAGCTTAACATTAATTTAAGTATAGTAAAGAATATAAAGTGCTCAGCATACTGAGCAGAAAATGTTCAGCGAGGGGCTGGCACTGTGGCATAGCGGGTTAAAGCCCCAGCCTGAAGCACCGGGATCCCATATGGGCATAGGTTCGAGTCCCAGCTGCTGCTCTTCTGATCCAGCTTCCTGCTAAATGTGTCTGGGAAAGCAGTAGAGGATGGCCCATGTTCTTGAGCACCTGAACCCATGTGGAAGACCCAGAAGAAGCTCCTGGCTCCCGGCTTTGGGTTGGCTCAGCTCTGGCCTCCGTTGAGACCATTTTGGGGAGTGAACCAGTGGATGGAAGATCTCTCCCTGTCTCTGTCTTTACCTTTCTCTGTAACTCTGTCTTTCAAATAAAATAAAATAAATATTTTAAAAAAAAGAAAATGGTTAGTGATAGTGGTTTACTTTCCTTATTGAGGTAAATAAATGTGCTGAATATCTGCTTCATATTAGACACTTTTTATTGGATTTACTGAGGTTTAATATACAAAAATCACACACTTCTAATGCATACATTTTGATAAGTTTGGACATATGGACACACTCACAATACCCTCACCACAAACACATATTCATCACCTCCTAAGATTTCTTGAATTATTTTGTCTCTTTTTAAAGTTACTTTAACATGAGCTCTTTCCTTATGACATATTTTAAGATGCATAATGTAGTACTGCTAACTGTAGATACGATGTTGTACAGCAGAATCTTTAGAACTTACTCATGTTGGAGAACACAGGGATTTTTTCAATTGGAAAACAATTTCCTACATGAAAATCTGTTCTCTTTATATTAATAACACATTAAAAAAAGAAAAAAATGCTGGCGCCGCAGCTCAATAGGCTAATCCTCCGCCTTGCGGCGTTGGCACACCGGGTTCTAGTCCCGGTTGGGGCGCCAGATTCTGTCCCGGTTGCCCCTCTTCCAGGCCAGCTCTCTGCTGTGGCCTGGGAGTGCAGTGGAGGATGGCCCAAGTGCTTGGGCCCTGCACCCCATGGGAGACCAGGATAAGTACCTGGCTCCTGCCATCGGATCAGTACGGTGCGCCAGCTGCGGTGCGCCAGCTGCGGCGCGCCAGCCGCGGCAGCCATTGGGGGGTGAACCAATGGACAAGGAAGACCTTTCTCTTTGTCTCTTTCTCTCACTATCCACTCTGCCTGTCAAAAAAAAAAAAGAAAACAAAAAAATAATTTTCCATTTCCCTCTCCCCAAAACGCATTCATGTGTTGATGGACGTTTGGGTTGTTTCTATCCCTTGGTTATTGTGAATAATGCTGCACAATAGATGGAGATTCACCTAGATATTTTTCTCACCTCTTTACAACTTGTTTCTCAAAGTCCTGATCAAATTTCATCTCTTCCATGACTCCTTTCACTATTGCACCACTCTTTTGTGATTTTTCCCTTCCCTGTATTGCAAATATTTGTATCATTGACTTAGTAATCGTTCATAAACCAGATTGTGACAGCTTGTGCATTATAGATCTTTAACATTTTACTTTGTACATGGTCCTCTAATTTTCTGGGATATGAGTTTCCTGTCTTTTCAACAATATTAAAACATTCCTGTAGGGCAGAAATTGCAAATATTTTCATTATTTGGTTGTATACACCCATCATAACTAACAGTGGATAATATTTACTGTAGACAGGCACCGAGTTGAGTGTTTTACATGTATACTTTTATTGAATTCTCAGAAAAACTTTGTGAAGAAGATACTGTTCTGTCCCTTTTTATACATGAAAAAATTTGGGCATCTGGCTTCAGAATCCTTGCTCTTATTTACTCTGTCAAAATAGATTCCATTTTGGCAGATGGTGTGGACCAATCTGTCATTGATAGGTGCAAAGGAATATAACACATACAGTTCCCAGAAGGAATTATAAGATATTTGCAAAAGAGTTCTTTGGGTCCCCTAAATAAAGAATCATATCATCTGCAAAGAGGGATAGTTTGAGTTCTTGCTTCCCAATTTGTATCCCTTTAATTTCTTTTTCTTGCCTCATAGCTCTGGCTAGAACCTCCAGAACTATATTGAATAGCAGTGGTGAGAGTGGGCATCCCTGTCTGGTACCAGATCTCAGTGGAAATGCTTCCAACTTTTCCCCATTCAATAGGATGTTGGCTGTGGGTTTTTCATAGATTGCTTTGATTGGATTGAGGAATGTTCCTTCCATACCCAGTTTGCTTAGAGTTTTCATCATGAACGGGTGTTGTATTTTATCAAATGCTTTCTTGGCAAATATTGAGATAATCATATGGTTTTTCTTCTGCAGTCTGTTAATGTGGTGTATCACACTGATTGTTCTGTGCCCATTAAACCATCCCTGCATACCAGGGATAAATCCCACTTGGTCTGGGTGGATGATCTTTCTGATGTGTTGTTGCATTCTATTGGCGAGAATTTTATTGAGGATTTTTGCATCTATGTTCATCAGGGATATTGGTCTGTAATTCTCTTTCAGTGCTGCATCTTTTTCCGGCTTAGGAATTAAGGTGATGCTGGCTTCATAGAAAGAATTTGGGAGGACTCCCTCTTTTTTGATTGTTCTGAATAGTTTGAGAAGAATTGGAGTCAGTTCTTCTTTAATACACCAAATAGTTAATGAAGCACACAATAGATCAACAATAACCTAATTTAATCTGGCTGAAAAGCCCATGAGAGTATTTCAGGCATGGAAAGCCAAGACACTCTGGCAAAAAGATCTCTGTAAGTGAGATCCCAGTGGAAAGAACAGGTCTTCAAAGAGGGAGGTGCCTTTCTCTGAAGGGAGGAGAGAACCTCCACTTTGACTATGACCGTGTCTAAACAAGATAAGAGTCGGAGAACTCAAGGGGCTTCCATAGCCTTGGAAACTCATAACTGGTGCATAGGGAGATTACTGATGCCATAAACAGGAGTGTCAATTGGTAAAGTCAACAACAGGAGTCACTGTGCACTTACTCCTCATGTAGGATCTCGGTCCTTAACGTGCTGTACACTGAGGCTTAATGCTATAACGAGTACTCAAACAGTATATTTCACTTTGTGTTTCT